CGATTCGCGCAAGAGTATCTTCTAGCCAAAGACATATCTCTTGTTCTAAACATTAAGAGGCCACTTTTAGAACGCATTGCTCGCTGCACTGGTGCTCAGATAATTCCTTCAGTAGACCACCTCTCCTCTCAAAAGCTGGGCTACTGTGAGAATTTTCGGGTGGATAGGTTTCTTGAAGAACATGGTCAAGTTGGAAAGAAAGCAGTGACGACGTTTATGTATTTTGAGGGTTGTCCAAGGCCATTAGGCTTTACAGTAAGCACTCCTAGCCATTAGAATTAAAAAGCAGATTTCTTGTTATCTAATTGCTTCATAACATTAGTTCTTACTTTTTTTTGTGTCCTTTATTCTTTAGATTTTGCTTAGGGGTGCTAATGAAGACGAGTTGAAAAAAGTGAAGCATGTGGTAAGATATGGAGTGTTTGCAGCTTATCATTTGGCACTCGAGACATCGTTTCTTGCTGACGAAGGAGCCTCACCAGAACTCCCCTTGAACTCCCCGATTACCGTAGCTCTTCCAGATAAATCTGCAAGCATTGAACGTTCGATATCTACTGTGCCAGGTTTCACGGTCTCCAAATCTCCAACAATGCTACCTGGTTTTGAACCACAACGAGCAAACAGTGTCCCAGCATCAGAATTGCTTTCGACCACTGAGAATCTATCCATCCAGAAGGACATAAATCCTCTGATCTCCAATGGTTCAGGCTGGCAGGCTAAAGAATCAAATCCAGGTTACATATTTTCACGCTGTAATGTTTCATTGAATTTGCCTGACCGTGTGATAGAGGGAAGAAACTCAAGTTTGTCTGAAAGACATGCACTGGCAGACACACCAGCAGACAAAAGCAATCCATCTGTTGAGGAGGCAGCAGACATATGGGACAAATCATCAGAGCAAGGCTTTGTGCAAAAGAGTTCTCAAAATAGTTCGAGTGGTATAGTAGAACACCAGGACAATGGTTCAGACCCTACAACCGTCCAACAGCAAAACGGTGAGGATTCAAAGGAACCACAATCTCAAAAAGAGGAATTCCCTCCGTCACCCTCTGACCACCAGAGCATTTTGGTTTCTCTATCGTCCCGATCAGTGTGGAAAGGAACTGTGTGTGAGAGGTCTCATCTCTCCCGGNGAGTGGTATAGTAGAACACCAGGACAATGGTTCAGACCCTACAACCGTCCAACAGCAAAACGGTGAGGATTCAAAGGAACCACAATCTCAAAAAGAGGAATTCCCTCCGTCACCCTCTGACCACCAGAGCATTTTGGTTTCTCTATCGTCCCGATCAGTGTGGAAAGGAACTGTGTGTGAGAGGTCTCATCTCTCCCGGATAAAATACTATGGTAATTTTGATAAACCCTTGGGAAGATTCTTGAGAGATCATTTGTTCGATCAGGTAACTTTTTCCTCTCCTTTATTTATACGTGGCTTATCTATTACAGCTTGCAGAATAATTTGGTATGCTCAAATTGCAGGGTTTCAGGTGTCGTTCATGTGAGATGCCATCAGAAGCTCACGTTCACTGTTACACTCATCGACAAGGTAGCCTTACGATATCTGTTAAGAAGCTCCAAGATTATCTCTTACCTGGTGAAAAGGAAGGGAAGATCTGGATGTGGCATAGATGTCTGAGATGCCCCCGACCTAATGGCTTTCCTCCAGCGACTCTACGAGTTGTGATGTCTGATGCTGCATGGGGATTGTCCTTTGGGAAGTTTCTGGAGCTTAGTTTCTCAAATCACGCAGCTGCCAGTAGAGTAGCATGTTGTGGCCATTCTCTCCATAGAGACTGTCTTCGCTTCTATGGGTAACTTTTTTTCTTGAATATGACTAAAGTGATGAAACATGTCTTATTAAAAAGTCTGTGTTTGTTTCTTTGCTCTAACAAGTTGTGTCCACGCAGATTTGGGAACATGGTTGCTTGCTTCCGATACGCTACTATAGATGTTCTTTCGGTCTACCTTCCTCCATCAGTTCTTAGTTTCAACTATGATAATCAGGACTGGATACAGAGAGAGATAGATAAGGTTAAAAATATCTGTGATTTTCTTGGATGCAGTTTCGAAATCTTACATCTTTGACTGATTCTCCATTTTAAATGTATCAAGCAGGTTGCAGAGAGAGCTGAGCTTCTGTTTTCTGAAGTATTAAATGCTATTAGTAAAATTGCAGTGAAAGGTTTTAGGCGTGGAATTGGTGAACTCGAAGAAATGCTGCAAAGAGAGAAAGCAGAATTTGAGGTAATAAATTATGTTTTGTATCTAGAACTCAGCCGTGCAAGATAAATTGTTCTTACGTTTTGTTTCTTCCAGGAGAATATGGAAAAGATGTTGCACAGGGAGGTGAAGGAAGGCCAACCTATTGTGGACATTCTTGAGCTATACCGGCTTCGCAGACAGCTAATATTTCAGTCGTATATGTGGGATCACCGCTTGATTAATGCATCAACTTTACAGAAGCTTGAGAGTAGTGATGACACTAAGCGAGAAGAAAATGAGAGACCATCCTTAGCTAAGAGCCAGACGCTCCCTGAGATGAATGCTGGGACCAACTCTCTTCTTGCTGGCTCAGAGGTTAATCCGAATCCTGATGGTTGTTCTACTTGTGACACTGGCTCGTTAGATAAGGTTCAGAAGGAAGCTGAACTGAATCAGGATAAGGAAGATGGGGAAGAAGTTTCTCCCAGCAAAACCTTACCTGATACTTCTGATTCTGTGGAAAATAAACTCGATGTTCGCCGGACACAGTCTGATGGTCATTTAGTAATGAAAAATCTTTCAGCCACTTTTGATGCAGCATGGATAGGCGAACGTCAAACATCAGAGGAGATTCCTGCAAATAATAAGATCTTGCTTCCTCCTTCCTCCATGTCAAACTCATCAACTTTCCCTCCTATAAATCTCCCAGAACAGCAAAAAGAATTCAAGGTAGCCTATCCAGTTTCAAAAGAATTCAAGGTAGCCTATCCAGTTTCACCTGCTTTACCGAGTAAAAATTATGAGAACTCTGAAGATTCTGTAAGCTGGTTAGGTATGCCATTCCTCAGTTTCTACCGCTCCATCAACAAGAATTTTTTGCTTAGCTCTCAGAAGCTCGATACATTTGGCGAGCATAGCCCTGTCTATATTTCATCTTTTAGAGATGCAGAGCTTCAAGGTGGACCAAAGCTACTTCTCCCCGTTGGCATGAATGATGTTGTTGTTCCGGTGTATGATGATGAGCCCACAAGTATGATCGCATATGCCTTGATGTCACCCGAATATCAACGGCAAATTTCTGTTGAAGTGGAATCTCCAGTTTCATATTCTTCTGAAATGAATATCACTCGCCCAGTTGATGACACCATTTTTGACCCAAGCAGAAGCAATGGTTCAGTGGATGAGAGTATACTTTCAATGTCCTCTTCTCTGCGTCTTGACCCACATTCATATCCAAAAGCTTTCAATGTTCAAGTCTCGTATGGAGAAGACGGCACTCTAGGAAAAGTGAAGTACACAGTTACTTGTTACTATGCTAAACGGTTTGAGGCGTTGCGTGGTATATGTATCCCTTCGAATCTTGAGTTTATAAGGTCTCTTAGCCGCTGTAAAAAATGGGGAGCTCAGGGTGGAAAGAGCAATGTCTTCTTTGCTAAAACCTTGGACGATCGTTTTATCATCAAGCAAGTCACCAAGACAGAATTGGAATCGTTCATGAAATTGGCACCTGAGTACTTCAAATACTTATCTGAGTCTATCAGCACGAAAAGCCCAACTTGCCTGGCAAAAATCTTGGGGATATATCAGGTACTTTAACTGCTAAGCTGAGAGATTTACTGGTTATATTTGACTCACTCGTGATGAGAGAATGTGTTTGTGTTAATAGGTCGCAACAAAGCAACTTAAGAGCGGGAAAGAAACAAAGATGGAGGTTCTGATAATGGAGAATCTTCTCTTTGGAAGAACTGTGAAGCGGCTTTATGACCTCAAAGGATCTTCCCGGGCTCGATACAATCCTGACTCTAGCGGGAGCAACAAAGTCTTGTTGGATCAAAACTTGATTGAAGCAATGCCAACTTCTCCCATTTTCGTGGGTAACAAAGCAAAACGTTTGTTGGAAAGAGCTGTGTGGAATGATACCGCCTTTCTTGCAGTGAGTTACAACACTCTTCTACTAATCATTGAAGCTTCACTTCTCGTAATGGTTACCAACTTATGTACTTTGTTTGTGGTGTTGCAGGTGTGTGATGTTATGGACTACTCGTTACTAGTAGGTGTGGATGAAGAAAAGAACGAGCTAGTACTGGGGATCATCGACTTCTTAAGGCAGTATACATGGGACAAACATCTAGANTGAGTTACAACACTCTTCTACTAATCATTGAAGCTTCACTTCTCGTAATGGTTACCAACTTATGTACTTTGTTTGTGGTGTTGCAGGTGTGTGATGTTATGGACTACTCGTTACTAGTAGGTGTGGATGAAGAAAAGAACGAGCTAGTACTGGGGATCATCGACTTCTTAAGGCAGTATACATGGGACAAACATCTAGAATCTTGGGTGAAGTTGACAGGAATCTTAGGAGGACCCAAGAATGAAGCACCAACAGTAATCTCTCCAAAGCAATACAAGAGAAGATTCAGAAAGGCAATGACTACTTACTTCCTCATGGTTCCTGATCAGTGGTCTCCCCCTGATGTCATTACTAATAACTCCAGGTCCGATCAACCAGAAGAAACCTCTCAAGCCGGTACACAAACAGAGTGATTTATATGAATCCTCAACATGTCAAGATTTTTTTTTTTTGTCTATAGGAATTGGTTTTGTGCATATGGGGGAACACTATTCTTTGGTTATAATTCTTGTGTATATGGATTTTGTTTGCATCTTTTGGATTATGAGTCGTTCAGGTAGTGTTTCAGATGATTATCTGAATGATTCATTAGAAAGATGTGAGATTATTTCAAATATTGTCCCATCTGTACAAAAAAAAAACTAGATTTTTTCTTGTGTATATGAATGAGATTCTTTTCTACTACTTAAGAAGACAATGAAATCAAAATCTGGACATACATTCATGTTTTTGTGTTCTTACAAAAGAGAAACAAGAAAGAAGCAAATGGCTGCTTCTTTCACAGCCTTCCTTATCTATACATTCTTATTCAAGAGGCCTTTTTTGAAGAGACAAACAGATTTTGATTTTTGTAAAAGAGAAATTTAGAGAAAGTCAAAGCTACTCCAGTTGATCATTCTTAACTCTTGTTGTGAAGCAGCTTCCTGTCTTTGACCATCACCCTTCTCTGCAACTCTCAGTTCCTGATAACTTCTTTGGAGAAGATCAAGAATCTCCACCTCTCTGTTTTTTGTTAACCAAGTTCAATCATTAAAGAACATTGAAACAAGATCGATCTGATGATATTAACAGTTTATGAATTATGAAGTGTTATTATACCTTGAGTAAGAAGCTAGTATTGGACTCTCTGGGGGACAACGAGGACCTTCATCATACCCTTCACATATAACCTCTCCGTTATCATCCGTGTAACATAGGATCCCTTGTACTGGATCTTCAAATACCTGTAACAAAACCAATTAGATTCTCAAGAAAATCAAGAGCCGTTTCTAGACAAAAAGAAGAAAGGATCTTACAGTGTTCTTGGTGGAGTATCTTATTGGCTGTGGAACTGTGACTTGCTTGGCTTTAACTTGAACTTGAGTCACTTGACTCTGTTGAAGCATCAAAGTCTTTGATCTCACTGTCTTTGGAACAAAACATTGTGTTTGAAGAGGAAGACAAAGTTTAGTTGAATATGCCATAGCCTCTTTGTGTTTTCTTTAGGATGAAATTTTGATCTCCTCTTTATGTGACAAACATGTTTGGTTTATAGGTTCCAAGAACTTAATTAAAGATAATGGCAAAACAAAACTTCTAAGTTCCGATGATTGGTTGAATCTTAGTTTAATATTTTATAAGATTTTTATAATGTTAAATAGTCGCAAGATGGAAATATAGTAATGGCCGATGAGACTGATCATCTTGTTAATAAGTTTATAATGTCTATGTCGTGGGGTCATGACTCTCATATTATGAGTAAATTGTAAAGTTATTCTTTCTTTTAATAATTGTTCGTTTTTTCTTCTTACTTTTCATCTAATGAAAGGTTGGCCATTCGATTTTTCCTTAATCGTTGAATTTATGCGCATAATTTATAAGTGTCTCCTCAGAGAGGTAGGAGTATTGATTTGGTGTTGTTTAAGAGAAAAATGATATTTAACTTGTGGTTTACGTAGTTTGATATGTGCAGTACATAAAATGCTTTCACATATTTCATCATGAGATGGCCACCACTTAATAAATTCTTTTTATGTATTTTGATCAGTATTAAATATTTTTTTCACCAAAATAGTATATTTTGTAATAGTGTATTTGGACAGATACAATTCTAGCGAATATGCTCCCTGGCGCGTTTCCCCAAACTCCCGGGACTCTACCCTAGCTTTGGGTTTTCTCCGCTGCTCAGCCCTCTCTCCACCGTAACTCTATGCCGGCGGCCGCCGTCACAAAATTCCGACCAGATCTTTCTTCTACTTTTGGAATCCTGATGTTGAGGGCTATTTATTTATGGTGCCAGTTTATGGGTGGGAGGCTTCCTCTGCACTAGATCTTGGATCTGTCGAGTATTGTTCTTACCTCATCTCTGAGGAATCTGTTTTGTTCCTCCGTCTCTTAAGCACGAGCCTGTCTTTCGCTGATGTCGACGTCTCGAATTCTCTCCCAAAGATTTTCGCCTTCTCTGTCAATGGAGTCTCTTGAAGCTGTTTCATCTGATTTTCTTTCCTTGCCGCCCGAACCACCAGATTTGCCTTCTCTATCAATGGAGTCTCTTGAAGCTGTTTCATCTGCTTTTCTTCCCTTGCCGCCTGAACCACCACATCCCGATCTCGACGTGATGCTTCTGGTGGATCCTCCTCTCCCTCCAGTTCCCCCCGACCCTCCACCGATTCTCGTAGATGCAGGTGTGCTTCTGTTGATGAATCTTTTACTGTATGAAGTTGAACTCTCCAGCTCTTTCACCACTAAACGGGAGACGGTGGCTATTGAGATCTCTGTTACAAAGGTTTTGGGGTTCTTGACAGCTGACTGCAAGCTTGCCTTCCACCATTACTCATCACTTCAAGTTCTCGAGGACTGGACTTCGAAGGTTGAAATATTGGCGGGGGTGATTTGTCTTTATGCAGTTTTTAGTATCTCAGAGCAACTTTTCGGAGTGCATCTCCCCACTGTTATGTTCAGTTCTCAGTCAAAGTATATCCTTCATTGGAAACCTTGGTCACAGGTTGTTGGACCCATCTTCCCTTGCTCCAGGAGTTCGCAAGGTATGGTGTTCATGTCTTACTGGAGTGAGTCATTCTTGTTCATTCATTGCCTCCGAAAAGTATTTAATTATCTTAGTAGGAGATCTGTGTTTCTTGGCAAACAAGAGATTATGCTGTTTTTGAATGGCTCTTTACCTCTTATTGAGGATGTTATAATCATTCTGAGCTTCAGGCTAATGCTCCATTTAGCACAATATGAGGCTGTTATCTGGAACTCTTTCTTTGTGGCTATGGATGCTATAGGTTCAGGTTTGTCTATGTGGTCAGGGCAGTTCGTCCCACAGCAATCAAACTATTGGAAGACATATTTGGCTAATGAAACTTGGATCATGAGTTCTACTCAAAGCGTCAAAGCTGGAACGCTGCAGAAAGTTCCTCACTCAACATTATCATCTGGATATTTAAATCTTCAGATTCTAGCGGACTCTATTGTCCTCTTCTTTGCCCTGCGCTCGGGGTTGGATTTGATTGAGATTACAGGTTCTTCATTGTTAGAAACCTTGTCCCTCTCGTCATTCCGTTATCATGTTTTTATCATTTATGCAAAACCTTCTGTTTAATGGTTGTTACTTATGTAATGGGTGGTGCCCCCAAACTTGGCTCTTAAGTACTCTGGTTTGAGTTATGAAATTAAAATTGTTGACAAAAAAAAAGTAATAGTGTATTTGGATATATTTTACTTGCATTCTGAAACTAAACACACAACATTTAAAATAGTAATATAAGTTGTTATAATAAACTAGTTAACTAATGGGGAATTAGGCCATATAGCAATAGAAAAAACCATAATTGGGTCAGTAGCAAAAAACCCTGACAGATACACTCACGTCGTTAGTTATATATATTAATACTGTATTACCCTTTAACTCAACCGTTTTCACCGGAAGAAAAAAAAGTCATAATTTATTCTCTTGGTTTTCCACTGTAAATCGTGTCTTACTTAACTCCACCAATGATTTTACATCTCCCACTAACTTCGATGCAAGCAAAACGTCTCCGAGAACTCCACAACTTAATACCGTCTTATTCTCTGTGAAATTCATCGTCTCCGTCGTCGTATTAACCCCATCTACTCTGGTAATTCAATTGAAAAGTTTCCTCTGTCTCTACTCCGCAGCCCTGAATATGTAAGTTCTCTCTTTCTTGTGTTCAGTCTCCTGTTATTGTAAATTATTTTTCTAGGGGTAAAAGTGAATAAATTCTTCCAAAATAGATTTGAGCGAAGAAGACGTTGTCAGAAAGTTTGTGGAGGAGGAAATCAGTTTAGGAAGATTTGTCGTTGACGGAAAGGAGAGGCTTCTCAGATTCTAAAAGCAACATTAGCGGAGACACCGAAACTGTACGTATCTGAATTTACAGAAACTTTTTGTTGTATGTGGAAGAAGATGAACAGTTATTGTATTCTATTCTATTATATGAATATAAAATAGAAATGTAAATATCATGTTCCATTCTATTTTATTCACAAATATGTACTATTCTATCTATTTTGTTCCATTCTATTTGGGTTTAAGGTATATACTTGGGTTTAGTAATAAAATAGATGACATTTTGTTTTATAGCTTCTGGACTTTACTATTAATTACAATCACAAATATTTTATAATTTCACCCCAATATGTACGTTGTTATTATATTTTGTTTCTGTCTATTTCGGTTTCCAGTTCATGTTCCATTCCATGTGATGTAGAGTTCATATGTGGGTTTAGGGTTTATATTTGCGTTTATGGTTTATATTTTGGTTTAGGGTTAACTTATTAGATATTAGGGTTTAGTGTTAAGTGGATTTAGGGTTAACTTATTAGAGATTAGGGTTTAGTATACTCATGTACATCTATTCCATTCCACGTACATAGAATGAAATTTAGGTGTACTCCATTTGGGATGGATTGGAATGTCAAATGTATTTTATATTTGCGTTTATGGTTTATATTTTGGTTTAGGGTTAACTTATTAGAGATTAGGGTTTAGTGTTAAGTGGATTTAGGGTTAACTTATTAGAGATTAGGGTTTAGTATACTCATGTACATCTACTCCATTTCACGTACATAGAATGAAATTTAGGTATACTCCATTTGGGATGGATTGGAATGTCAAATGTATACAAATATTTGATAATTTAACTACTAAGTACTATGTTATATATTTTTCCATTCCATGTGATGTATAGTTTATATGTGGTTTTAGGGTTCATATTTGGTTTTAGGGTTTACATTTTGCTTTGGGGTTCACTTATTAGAGATTAGAGTTTAATATTTACTCGTTGTGGTGGGATCAACATTACCTCCTGTTATTGGTCATGTTCTTATTATGTCCCCCGGTTGACATTTGGGTGTAACATTCGTGCCTACCACTTGGAATGAAATAGTAGTAGATGAAGTCATTCTATTTTACGTGAAATGGATCAGACATGAAAATATTGTATCTCAGAGTCCCTTAAGTTGCGTTTTGTTCCGTTCCAGCCTGCTTCACTTTTTCATCATGCTTAATTTCATTACATCATTGTATATCTAATCTCTATTAACTATCTTCCCCTGGTTTTTTATGTTAGGTCTGTCTTGGACGAGTTGGACCTTCCAAATAGATTGTCCGCGACAGAGTGTGAACCCATTGGAAAGAAAAGAGTTAACAACTATTTCAACCTTCGGTGGATCGAGATAATAAAGGGTGCATTAGAGGATGAGGACCTTGCACTGTTGAATGCTTCTCAGTTTGGGCAAGTAATGTGGATGGTATACTACATAACTGTGTGGAATAATTCAGAACGAGATAGCATGGCACTGCTAATATACTGGATATTATACTCAATTGTATGTAGAATAGCACAACAATGGAATGGAATAACATATTGTACTACTTTACATGTACTATTTAAATTTGGGTAGATCAAATGGTCTGTACGTCAACACCAATTATATGTTTCATACTCGTTTATACCACTACTTTAATCACAACATAGTTAGTTATTAACATACATCATAGTATAATTATTCAGGTATGTTCAATGAACATAGAACACAGTATAGTTATTTAGCTAAGTAGTATGGAATATATATATTAGCTGTAAGTTCAACTTGTCGTGATTGAAAAACTCCACATAAAGCCTCCACGTCTTTTGCTTTACACCATGTCACCGGCTACTTATTGTTGGAGAGGGTAAAACCGGGTAAGAAGTAGGCTAAATGTTAGACACTATATTATCTGAATATCATAGCTATATACTTAATTTACCTGTCAAATTTGGCTATTTCACCAATTAGCCCTTAACTAATTTATACAGTTTCAAAAAGAAATATCTATTATTATCTGCCGCCCAGTGACGAATTACTAGTTAACAAGACTTTAAAACTTTGGCACGTGTACGTTTTAGTGACATGTAAGTTTTTGTTTTATTTCAAAATTGTCAATAATTGGTGTATAGTTAATGATGTGATTAGACGAGTGATTACTTGTTGGCTAAACATGGAGACATCGTCGTACAGGTGCTTGGAAAAGGTCGTCTCTTTCCAACGTCAGTAAGGTATGTTCTAGAATAGTATTATCTCGCCGGTTTAATTAATTAATAAACTAATACCAAATTATACATCAAAACGAATATTCCTGTATCAAATAAAATAAACTTTACGAATCGTTATTTTTTTTCTGAAAGAAAACCACAAATGTTCACTAGTTTCCGAGTCATCAACAACTTTGGACATTCGGAACCAGCAAAAGTTTATATTAAAACTCTAGATGATGGAGTGAGTCATATATATCAAGGTAGGTCACAAAACGTTGGAGAAAACTTCCAGAATAACTTTTAACAAAAGAAGAAAAATAAACTTCCACAATCATTTGTCGCTTAAACCAAAACTAATAATATAGTATTCGTAGATACTAGATGATAATAATATTAATGCTAACAGCTGATAACCATGTACTTAGTATATAAATTATATTAGAAATATAACTATACTTGTGGTGTCTGATTCAGGAGGTTGGGAGATGATATACGTGACTAGAGTTTCTTGTCTATCATTTTTCTAATCCATCGTCCAGTTAGATCATCGTATAGTGGTGGCCTAACTTATCAATATCGTACGATCTCCAATTTTTTTATAAGCAAGTATATGTTTAATAAAATTCGATATGATACTTATTAATATTATCTTCTTAATCACTAAATTAAATTATATTAGAAAGTAGAAACCTACTACGACTACGAGTGAAAACTCCATGAATGGGATCTTGGAGCAACAATTTTGTATTTAATCTTTATGAATGTATATATTGTCATCTGGAAATTTAATTATGTCATTATCGTCTATTGTATTATGATTACCAAGATTATTGGTTACTATTTCAAATTCACTTATATAATTTTTGCTACTGAAGTTATAGTGCCACCGAGCTTATATTCATGGCACTATAACTTTGCATGCATGGACGTTTCTGTGCATTCACATACACCAATAAGCATATACCAAATACTACTAGTCAAAAAACCAGTGCCGACTTATACGAGGACAAACGGTGCGACTATCTCGGTCTAAATCCGTGCCTTCCGATCTTATTAATTTAGGGAATCAATATTTTTTATACATATATATTTTTATATAAAAAAATTAATAGTTATAAATTTTAGTTGAATAAAGCCTTAAAATATTTTACATATACATAATTTATTTTCATCACAAAATTTATAAAGATTATGATGATAAAATTTTAGAATATATTTAAATTTTTAATAAATATAAATATTAAAAATTTAAATTTTCTTTTGCTTGGGAGTCCAAATAAATGTTGAGCCGGTCCTGCAAAAAACGTTTTCCAAATTGTAAAAGATGAGACAAATATCTAAAAACTAATCAAAATTTCCTTCAATCACCTACATGCCAACATTCACGTCCCATTTGTCAACTCTCTAATTGTATGTTGCAAATATCGACTAATCACTGGGAATAAACTCTGCAACTTATGCACCTGAACTTCAACTTCAATTTGTATTGACAAATTTTGAGTTTTGGTTTCCAAAGGACTGAGTATGACACTGGAGTCAATACGTCTGTTTCAGAAAGGAGTATGCTATTGAAGCTATCAAGGTAACTTCTCCATTACTCTATCTCTAAGCTACTATATTAATAAGATAGTGTCCATAAACATAGATACGTATGATCCAACTTTCTGCAGTCTCGGCCTTTTTGAGTATCCCTTCCCCTTTAACTTAGCCTCATTTGATATACACTTTGCTCAGACCCGGCCCAAAGAAATATATGACTAGAAACAACAAAAACTTTTTGAACCTATTATTTAGTAACTAACCTCACAACTCTTAGAGCACCCCCATCAGTGAACTTTGGGATAGTGAACCTTGGGATGAGGGGTTCACAATTCTTTTTTTTTATTCTTTTTTAATTTTTTCGTTTGTATATTTATTTTTTTTTTAAAAAAATTGGTCAATCGCGGGCCGCCACGTATCGTGGGACCCGCAAAACAGTGGTGATACATGTTCACCAGAGAGAATCCCAAAACCACAGATTCATCAAATATATTATATTTTATTTTTTTTTTGTTTCCATGAGAAACACCCCTGTGAACTTTCAATGGAGGTGCTGTTATACACTTGATGTAACCATAAACCAAGTAAGCTATCAAAAATTTAGAAGGTCGAAATAGTACATAACTAAACCAAGGCCGGACGAACATGCTTATCAATCATTTTGAAACTCTCAATAATTTGTATAAGAATCAGATGGGTGATCAATCTCAACTAATCTCCAAACACAAAACCATTTATTGATAATAATCAATAATTATTCAACCAACAATATGTAGGTTACACTTCACAACAATAACATCTCAAAGACCTAGTGAGAAAGGAAAACCGGTTGAACCTAACCATCCTCCACCACCGATAAACTGACCCGCAGTATATCTCTGAGCTTCACCAGCAGTCCTGATAACCTTAAAGCCCCTCCACTTCACTCTCCTTGCAGTTCCAGCCCCTGCTCCTCTATTCGCATACTCTCTATAAGTCAAAGTGTTCAAAGCAAAAGTCCATGTCCACTCGAACCACCCTTCGGGTCGGATCACGTCGGATATAACTGACTGCATGATCACCGTCTGCGAGTACTCTTTCCACGGCCGACCAAGATACGTAGGAAAACTACCTTTCACGCCTTGCAAATCCGACGTGGCACCGATCCTACATTTTTGGATAACGATCCCTGTGTTCTGGTTAGGATCGGTCCTTCCTTGAGCTGTGACCATGTTTTTCTGGCCGGCGTTTGGTCGACGAGCGTGGATGTCGCAGTCTTGGAGAACGACGGCAGCGTTTCCGAAGATGAAGTCGACGGTTCCAACGATGAGGCACTTGACGAAGTACTGACGGTTAGAGTGGACGTAGAGAGTATCTTGGTAAGCTAACATGTCGCATTGGTAAAATGCGGAGAAATCGGAGCCGACACGGAGAGCCACCGCTTGGTGCTTCGACGGACCCGCCGTGTTTTGGAAAGTGATGTCCCGTGCTAGAAATCTCTCGCCGACAGCAGCTGGACCCCCACAAAAAAAACATCAATCAGTTTAACGGCATCATCAGGTAAAAAGGACTAATAACACTAGATTTTTTTGCTGGAAATGTCACTTTAGTTTAAGGGATTGATAACTTTGCCCTTTTTAAAATATTAAGTACAAAAAAAAAAATATATATATATATATATTAAGTACAAAAGAGATTAAATATGAAACTTGAAATGTGATGATACCAAATGTGTACTGTACTGTAAATGAAATGATGTAAGGGCACCAGCATCAAGGGTTTATACCCAGGTTTACCCCATTCCCAAGAAAACAAAAATAATAAAATAATGTGACATTCTGTGAACCGATGCGTGAAGACTCTCTGGGGTGAACCTATCTGTACCCAGGTTCATCACTGTTTCGTGGGTCCCACGCCACGTGGCGGCCCACGATTGGTCAATTTAATTTTTTCTTTTTTTTTAAAAAAAAATCAAACGAAAAATTAAAAAAAATAATAATAAAAAACTCAGCTGGTGAACCTCAAGTGGGGGTTCATTAATGCTGATGCTCTAACAAGTGTAAATAAGGGGACGAAATCGGATAGAAAAGTCAACTAGAATAAAACAAGAAAAACAAACAAAAGGCTAAAGGGTCTCTTCAGGAGTGGATGAGCCATTAACCAAAACCACGTCAAGCCACTTAGAAAAGCAAATGATTCGCACATGACTTAAGTCTCACAAAGCGTTTTGTTCAAATATGGCAATTCAAGTTCGAATTTAATTTTATCTCTTTGCTAGGTTAAACGTGCGAATCATATGTTGTAGACTTGTAGTGGATGAGACTAAAAATCTACATGTGAATAATAATTAATGTACTTGAAAAGTGTAAAGATTTTCCACAAAGAAGGGCCAGCCACATCATGCAAAATTACTTTAAATCTTTTTCAAAAAGAAAAGGAAATAAATAAAGTTGCTTACCAACGCCCAACGGTGGCGGAGTGAAATGTGGTGCTACCGTCGACAACGTTTCTATTTCCAGTAATAATAGTTCTTGTCCGACCATCTCCCATAAACATTATATTCTTTTTCTTCTTCGACACGCAGTGGCGGATGTACATAGATTTTGGGTGGGGCATTTGCCCACCATAAACTTTTTAAGTTAATGTAAATTGGTCAAAATTTTTGTGAATGCCCCTGTCAAAAATCCAATTTTATAAAGATGATTAGTAGTGTTTAATAGTTTTGCCCCGGATAGAAGTAAGTTCTAGCTCCGCCCCTGTCGACACGTCCACATTCTCTCTATAAACACCAGCTTTTATATGTATCACATACCTCCTATTACTATTATCCGGAGCAGCCGCAACCGCAGCCGCAATAGTCTTGAATTTACCGCTACCGTTAGCCGCCACAGTAGCATCGGCTCTCACTCTAGACCCTTGAAGAAGTCTCCTATCTCCCACGGATAACCAACTAGGCCAGCCCTCTGCGTCTACTTCTCCGGCACCGGCAATATCTACGGCCATTGTAGTATCCTCCTCCTTGAGTTTACGGTTGTTTGAGAAGGATTTAGCTTTCAGCTCGAAATTGGCTATGTAGGTATCAGTCATGTTCTTGATCATTGCTAGTGCGTTGCTGCACATGTGCGCAACGTGTACCTACACATAACTTATCCAGTTATAAAATTGTATTTAAAAAGAATCATGTTATCAAAAAATTATAGAATTAAATACACTTCAATAAGAACTGATAGCAACTATTTCTACCAACATTAGCTAACACCATTTTTGTAATGCCCCGACCGCCAATGCCTAATGGACCACTTATGCCTACTCTCTCGGTTCGTGGGTCCTATCCCAACGGTCGATCTATCAATTTTTTAAGATTTTGGTGACATAGATAGTCAAATCAATTTTCTTAAGTCTTTTACATATCACAATTCGAGATGTTACAATTTTATTATAAGAAAAAAAAGAAAAAAAAATACACAATTGTCAAAGTAATGTGATGTGATGGATTTATTTAGTTTTCTTGTTACCCTATCTATAACTTTTTTTCATTGCATACATTCCAAACATCAATTCTAGCCCCACGATGAAATAACAAAATAGTGATGTTATGTTGAGCCATTTCAGATCCCATAAATTTAGTGAACCAAAACAAATGCATTTTATCCGTCGACATTTGCAAATTTTAAATTAAATAATTTTTTGCATACTGACACCGTATCTTATACATTTCACATATTTTATATCTAGTTTCAATTGTTCTCCAATTCACATGTTTTCACGTACCTGACCCTTCAACAAGACCTTACGAACTTTCTTGTCAGCATCATCATGAGAGAATCCATCGAGACAAGTCTCCTGGTTGGTAATGGCAGAGCTTATTAGGGTTTTGAGATCACCGGCGTGTTCCCTTAGAGTTTTCTTGTTAGGATACATTTTGAGATCTTCCAGTGTCTCATGAAGCTCATCAAGAGTCTCATCAATAGTCTCCAAACAGTCATGAAGTGCCGTCTTCTCACGTGGAGTCAGTCCTTTCCTATTCTTGATCAGTTTCTTGACGGTGAAGTAATTGTGCTCCACGGCGGTTGTCGTTAGGTTAAGCGAGGCCTCAATGACGTCTTTCTGCGACGTAAGTTTGACGCCGCCGGACGTGGCCACGGCGGAGACGCAGAGGTCATAGTAAAGTGTTGAGCTGCAAGCTGATCTTAGCACGGCGTGAGAGGACGGTGATAGAGGTCGTTTTCTCTCCTCGTTGGCTTTTGAAGCTCCGACGGATATTCCGGCGACGGCAGCCACGAGGAGCAGAGATACGGCGGCGGATAGTAAAACAAGTTTCTTGTTTTTCTTGAAATTTTCTTTGGAGAAGATTTCTTTGATAGATGGTGCCATTTTTTTGACACTGATGAGTGAAAGTGGTGAATGTGCTTGTGAAGAATGGGGAGTTTATATTGACGAAATTAAAATTTGAAAATATATTTGTTTTTAATGGCTTTTCTTGTTTTTTTTTTTGTATTATTTGAGTGTAAATTCATTTGTTATAAGCCCCTCGCTAATAGAAGATAATATTTTTTGTAAAGAGAATATTAGGCCAATATTCGAGTTCCACAGAAGTACTATTGTTCTGTTCCCAAATATGTATTCTTGTGTTCTGTTTTGATATTTGTCCGAAGACAAGTCAAACCATAGCATTCGTTGCTTCGCTTACCAGTTATTTTTATATATGGTAGATATTACTTTTTGTTTTTGGGAGATATTTCGTTAATGTATGTCCTGGAAACTTCTATATTTTGTATAGCTTACAGGTTTCTGTTAATCGTGAAAATATTATTAATATCTAAAGGGAAAATATGAATTTTCAATACAGAAAAATTAGATATCGTGGATTCGAGTTATATGTAAACATATATATATAGATATATTTTTTTTTTGTTATCACAAAAACTCCCCTAGGTTGCATGTTCTGTAAAAGAATTCTAACGTCAGTAACATCAGACATACACGTATGCATGAGTAAACTGGTAACACTACTATACCGGGAGAAAAAACTATAGTACAATTTATAAACTAGTAACGACACTAGTAACCACAAGTGTGTCAGGTAGTTAAGGTGGCTCGTAAAATTCCTTAAAGTTACCGGTTCAAAACTTTCCTCCCAATACCGAGTTTGTACTCATTCTTGTGGCCAGGCGACATGGTGGACAGGTTCCCGAGGATTAGTCGGTTAAGTCACGGCAACGGATATCCCGGATCCAAAAAACACTAGTACAAACTACAATAAATACAAAGAAGTTTAGAGCACCCCCATTAAAGTATCAAGAAGGGGATTCACACAATTCTCAAAAAAAATATATATATAAAAAACTTCGAACCTGTATCACAAATAGTGATGCAAGGAAACAAACTATAACCGGAATCAATTCAAGATAATGGAACTGCAATAGCACTCTTTGTTCTACCTTGTTTTTTCTTTCTTTTTGCCTTGGTAGAACAGATCTTAGATTATTCAATCCTTGTAATATATTTTGTAATATATTTCCTTCATTAATATGAAATTTACAGTTTAGCAAAAAAAGTTAAGAACTTAAGAAATGCAATTTTCCATCAAGAAATGATTTATAAATGTTTAGTTTATCATTCCAATATATTTTTGTTTTCATTTTAGAACGTTTACACGTTTGAACCACATGAAAGAAACGTGAACGAATAATCCAGATATTAAAAACATTACCCAATAGAGTGGAAAGTTCAGATAATGGACGAGTTCGGGAAAATCAGATTAGCTAAAGGCTTTTTAAACTCTCAATTTGTATAATAATCAAATTGGTGATCAATCTCAACTAGTTTCCAATACAAGAAAAGATATGAAAATACCCAAACACAAAACCATTTATTGATAATAATCAATAATTATTCACCAACAATATGTAGGTTACATACACTTCACAACAATAACACATCTCAAAGACCTAGCGAGAATGGGAAACCGGTTGAACCTAACCACCCTCCACCACCGATAAACTGACCAGCAGTATATCTCTGAGCTTCACCAGCCGCTGTAATTACCTTAAATCCCCTCCACTTTACTCTCCTTGAAGTTCCAGCCCCTGCTCCTCTATTCGCATACTCTCTATAAGTCAAAGTGTTCAAGGCAAAAGTCCCTGTCCACTCGGACCACCCTTCGGGTCGGATCACGTCGGATATATCCGACTGCATGATCACCGTCTGTGAGTACTCTTTCCACGGCCGACCAAGATACGTAGGAAAACTACCTTTCACGCCTTGCAAATCCGACGTGGCACCAATCCTACATTTTTGGATAACGATCCCTGTGTTCTGGTTAGGATCGGTCCGTCCTTGGGCCGTGACCATGTTTTTCTGGCCGGAGTTTGGTCGGCGAGCGTGGATGTCGCAGTCTTGGAGAACGACGGCGGCGTTTCCGAAGATGAAGTCGACGGTTCCGGCGATGAGGCACTTGACGAAGAACTGACGGTTGGAGTGGACGTAGAGAGTGTCTTGGTAAGCTAACATGTCGCATTGGTAAAATGCGGAGAAGTCTGAACCGACACGGAGAGCCACTGCTTGGTGCTTCGACGGACCAGCCGTGTTTTGGAAAGTGATGTCCCGCGCTAGAAATCTCTCCCCGACAGCAGCTGGACCCACAAAAAAACATTTAATCAGTTTAACCGCATCATTAGCTAAAAGACTAAAACAACTGTGACTATGACTAATCTGAAGTTTTTAGGGTAAGAGTTCTTAACGGAAGTTTTAACTGTTTCTTAATTTTTAACTTTTAATTAAAAAAATTAAGAACCAATTCTTAAATAAATACTTTAAAGCTAAGAACCGATTCTTTAATAAATACTTTAAAAATCGATTCTTAGAATTTTTAATAAAAAGTTAAGAAACAATTTTTTAACTTCAGCTAAAAACCTTATCCTAAAAACTCCGGATTAATCATGCTCTAATAACAGTAGACTAGTTTTGGTGGAATATCATTTTAGTTTTATGGATTTATAGTTTTACTTTTATTAATTATTATAAAGGTTTATAAGAAATGGAATGCAGCTTGGAAAGTGATGATAACAAAGGTGTAACTGTAATGATATGATGTAACAAATGTAAATAAGGGACAAGATCGGATAGTACAATGAAAGAGAGAAAAAAACAAAAGGTAATCAAACCAAAGGCTCCCTTCACGAGTGGATGAGCCATTAACCCAATCCACGTCAAGTGACTTAGAAAAGTATAAGAATAAAGCCAAGAAAATGATGGATCGAGACTCGCACATTACTAAAATCTCACAAAGCGTTTTGTTCAAATATGGCAATTCAAGTTCGAATTTAAATTTTATCTCGTGACTAAAGCTAAACGTGCGAATCATATGTTGTAGTGGGTACTAGCTACTGAGACTAAAAATCTATATGTGAATAATTAATGTACTTGAAAAGTGTAATGATTTTCCCCCACAAAGAAGGACCACATATCATGCAAAATTACTTTAATTTTTTTTTTTTCAAAAAGAAAAGAAAATAAACAAAGAAGCTTACCAACGGTGGCGGAGTGAAACGTGGTGCTACCGTCAACAACATTTCTATTTCCGGTAATAATAGTTCTTGTCCGACCATCACCCATAAACATTATATTCTTTTTCTTCTTCGAAACTTCCACATTCTCTCTATAAACACCTGCTTTTATATGTATCACATACCTCCTATTACTATTATCCGGGGCAGCCGCAACCGCAGCCGCAATAGTCTTGAATTTACCGCTACCGTCAGCCGCCACAGTTGCATCGGCTCTCACTCTAGTCCCTTGAAGAAGCCTCCTATCTCCTGCGGATAACCAACTAGGCCACCCATCTGCGTGTGCTTCTCCGGCACCGGCAATATCTACGGCTATCGTTGTATCCTCCTCCTTGAGGTTACGGTTGTTTGAGAAGGATTTAGCTTTCAGCTCGAAATTGGCTATGTCGGTATCAGTCATGTTCTTGATCATTGCTAGTGCGTTGCTGCACATGTGCGCAACGTGTACCTACACATAACATATCCAGTTATAAAATTGTATTTAAAAAGAATCATGTTATCAGAAAATTTTAGAATTACATATACTTCAATTACAACTATTTCTACCAACATTTCATTATAAGGAAAAAAAATATAGACAATTGTCAAAGTAATGTGATGTGATGGATTTATTTAGTTTTCTTGTTACCCTATCTATAACTTTTTTCATTGCATACATTCTTTTTTTTTTTTTGCCAAAGTGTGAATTTCATATAAAATATGAGAAGAGTTTGTAGATATACAAAAAGGGGGGAAAACTATGCTAAGTTAGCCAAGGCAAAAAATAAACAGGGCCAAGCTAGTTGCAAAACTTCTAATCAAAATAGAAAGCTATTCATGTCTGAGCCATTCCTGCATCAAAGGCTGGAAAAGAGCAGTGTTCCTTCTACCGAGTATAGCGTCCCTGACTATACGATCAATTCTCTTGAAAACAGTAGCCGGCGTTTGAGAGACTCTATCATGAAGCCTCTTGTTTCTCTCAGTCCATATACTTGAGATGGTGACCTGGGCGACAATACGCTTCAGGGTTACACTGACAACCTTATCCCGAATACCCATCCATTCCGAGAAAGCAGTCCAAGTGTGAAACCCTCTGTGGGAATATCCAAGACGGAGCAGAACACAGTCCCAAATAGCTTCACTAACCTCACATCGCAGAAAAAGATGGTCTCTGGTTTCATCCTCAATGCTACAGAGGCAACAGGAGGAGGGAATGGACATTCCCCAACCGACAAGTCTTGATCTTGTAGGTAATCGGTCAAGATGTGCCACCCAGGCAGTGAAAGCGTGTCTAGGGATGTGACCGGTGAACCAAATGTTCTTGGTCCATCTCTGCACCAAAGCCCTGTTTCTCACTATGCTCCAAGTCTTACTAGTGGAGAAGTTTTGCAAATCCTTACCATCAATAACCCACACATAGGAGTCTTCTGAACCACTCAGGGAAGGGAGAGGGATTGTGGTAAGGTAAGTAAGAAGCTCTTCAGCGGCAGGAGAGCGGGCTCCCCTGAGAAGCCAACCATCGTTGTTGCAGGCCTGCGAAACCGGAGCAAGAACATGGACCTGCAGTTCCCTCGGACCAAGAGCACCAAACCGAGTTATGAGAGGTCCAAACGGCGTCCATTGATCATACCAGAAGCTTAACTTCTGCCCATTCCCCAATCTTGCTTTCAAGAACTGTGCAGCAAGCCCTCGCAGAGATAGCATAGAGCACCAGGAGGAAGAAGTAAACTTTGAAGCATCCAAGGCCCAGAAGTTTTCACCTTTGATTCTGTACTCCTTGACCCAGGATGCCCAAAGAGAGTCAGTAGCTGTGAATAGTCTCCAAAT